TCTTTTTTTGATGTGCTAAGACATTAGACTTATAAGATATAAGTTTTCAGAATTGGAAAATAGCATCCAAGAACTTTCAAACTCACATACTAGTAGTTAATCTTATTTACCAAAAATTCACAGATGAACAAATATTTTTCTCTAATTGGTTTCTTCCTGGTTTCACACATAGGGCCAAGCTATTATTTTGGTAGATGACCACTGAGTTCATCTTTATGTGCAAAATCAATGTCTAATGATATTTTTAACAACGTCCTGCTCACCAATATACCTGTCTCATTGATTCAGCCTGTGAACCACAGCATTGTTCAAAATATGAAACATTATACTAGAGGAGATTTCATGAAGTTTATGCATTGTGTAGGCGTTGGAAAGATCTTGCAATCTCATAATAATAAAGATTCCATTTTTAATGATGCTCACGCCTAGAATTTCATTTCAAGTAAAATATACGAGAAATTAGGAAAAAAGGGGGCTGGATATTTGAAGCCACTGGAAGCAAAATAAACTGAAGCATTTAGTACAAGCCCCTGAAAATAAATTATAATAAACTTTTGATAATAAAAAATGTTATTTTATATCTACTCAAAAAGGCTTAATGGAAGCATAATAAAAGAGTAGATTAATGTTTACAAGAGGGTAAAGTAACACAGTATCACAAATATCAAAAACAGTAAAAGACGCCAGTATTGTAAATGAAGACAATTTTAGTGAAGGACACAAAATAACTTTAGAAGAGGCTGCTTCAGTCTGCATTGTAATAATTACATTTACAGAAAGGTAACCACATTATGCTGCCCAGGAGATTATACACTTACACATTCTACACTTCACTTTTATGATCAACAAGTGCCAAGCCTTACTAAAAAAAACCAAAACTTTAGGTTATGTCATAGGGTCAGTAGAGAGAATCCAATCTCCAACATCTTCTACATCTTGCTGAGCAAGATTGTCTTTAAGGCCCCCTCTAGATTCTAGCTTTCTTAAAGTCCTGTAAGTGATAATCAGTGTTCATTATGATGACTCCATGGTACTACAATTTTTTAATGATCATTGAATAATTGGAGAAGGGTTCTGTTTTGTTAAATATAGTTATAACATTCTAATTCTTTGAAAATCTGGGAATCGAAATGTAAAATGTTACCAATCAACCTGAATATTTAGTGTACCAAAACACTTAATTCCTTGATCATTCTGAGGCATTTACTGTACAATCTTACTGTAGATTTTTGTTTTTCTAAAAAGAAGGGGGAATTGTAAGGGAATAGAGCTCAGGGGTTAGATCCTTGGCATTAAAGACTCCCTTGGATTGCTTTTGGCTGTTGGCTATAGCAATTTATTTTCTTGCAGAGATGAAGCATCTGGTTTTTGTTATCTCAATGATGTTGTCCTGGGAATATTACGATTGCGACGAAAATTTGACCGTATTCTCTATGTGGATTTGGATCTGCACCATGGAGATGGTAAGCCCTTCACTCTCAAGGGTGCTTTGCTGCTAGGACAACAGGTTTTTATCAGTAAAGTTGCTTCCCAGCGGCTGGTAAAAAGAGAAATGCCTGTTGCAATTGAAAGTTTCCTAATTGAGAATACTAAAATAGGTAGAGATTCTTCTAACTGGTTCAATTCCTCCTTTGCTGATGAAGCTGCTGCTTTAAAAATCCCAGGTTCCTGTAATTTCTCCTCTCCTTTCCTCTCGTCCAGTAGCAAAGCTCTCCAATAGAGAATGATAAGAAGTGAGAATCTTACCTAGTATTTACTCCAGTGTGCAGTAACCTCCCTTAGTTCTCTTTCTTATGTTCTTAGTGAAATCTGCAGCTAGAGCTGACAGTCTTGATACTTCTCTCAAGGTCAGAATGGGTATATGATGAAATATTGTGAATTTTTCACCAATAGAGATACCAACTTATATAACAGTCAAAATCTGTCCCACTGTTTTTGTATTGCTAAAATATTTAGTCCTGTGCAAACAAACCTAAGGCATCTTCTGTAACTTTTAATAGCATCAGAATCATTAACAATTTGCCTTAAGTTCATTAATTTCTTCTTAGAAGACTTCACTGAAAGGATGCATCCAGCCCTCCTCTGAACTTCCCATCTACAATGTGGAGCTTCAGTGACAGTTACACACATTCTATTTCTTTAACAAATCCTGTGGGTGGCACATATTTCCATTGATCTAGGAACACTTACCCAGTAAAATCAGTTAAAGGTGTTCCCTCCCCTCTCCCACATCAAGAATTGCTACTTCCTGGCTGGGGAGTGTTGGGGGAGGGGGGATCAGAGATCAATCAAAGGACTTATATGCATGCATATAAGCATAACCAATGGACACAAGACACTGGGGGGGGAGGGGTAAGGGCATGTGCTGGGGGAAGGTCAATGGGGAAAAAAAGGAGACATATGTACTACTCTTTGTAATACTTTAAACAAGAAAATAAAATTTTTTAAAAAAGAATTGCTACTTACCTGTGTCTAGGGATTTTATGAGACAAACTAACATAATTCAGACAGGAGAGGGAAAAAATAATATATGACAGAGACTAGGGTCAACTTTGCTGCCAAAATAGATAAAGAAGGAAGACATTGTCAGGGAAACCTCCCCAGGGAATTCACCTAGATGGATGCTACCATGAGATGATGACAGAAAATTAAAGGTAACTGAGAGAAGGGTTAAAACAATCAGGGTACTACTTTGAGAGCAATGTCTACTGAATACCTGAACACTCAGCCAATGCAAATCACAGCCTTGCTAAAAAACCTTCAGAGGCTCCTTATCACCTATAACAAGGGTAACATTTGGCCCATGGATTGTTTTTGTTTGACCAGCAAGCTAAGAATGATTTTTTTATATATTTTTATAAGGTTGTAAGGGGAGGGAGGGAAATGCAATAGAGACCATGTAATTTGGAAAGCCTAAAATATTTACCATGTAGCCACTTGGTTTACTAGCCCTTGGCCTATAGCAATGGTTCTCAAACTCAAATGTCTATCAAGATGACCTGGGGGAAGCTTGTGTTAAAATGCAGACTCCTGGACCATATCCACCAAATATTTAGATTTAATAGGCCTGGTATAGAATCTGGGAATCCACATTTTAACAACACCCTAGTTGTTCCACAGGCCAAACTTTGAAAAGTTAAGTGGTTAAGTCCACACTCTTTACCCTGTCTTTTGAGGCCTGCCTCAAAGAGGCCTCACCTCTTCTGTCCAGCCTTCTCTCTCACAAGTTGTGCAGGCTTCTCTACTCAATGATCACCAAACATCTCACTGTGCCCGCCTCCCTGATTTGGCATTACTTTTCCTAACTTAGTTTTGTTTTCTCCTCCCCTTTTGCATCTCCAAGTTCTACCTAGAAGTTCAAGTTCCAAGAGTATCAGATTTGCCTTGAACACTCCAGCTCAAGTGTTCTCTCCCCTACTCAACTGTATTGTTTATATTACTGATTTGATATTTAATTATATATTGTCTTATACTGTTAATTCTGTAAGCTGTCTGTCTTCTCATGTAGAAACCTTTAGTTTATCCAAAACAGAGATTAAGTTGTTTACTTCTTTCTGTCCTAAACAATGGCTTGAACAAACAGAACTATGCATATGTTACAGTAGAGGTTCAGTAAAATATTTGTTGAATGAATGAATGATTATGAAATTCAAACTATTAGTATCAGAGTTTAAGAATAGCATCAACTCTGTTGAACCATGTAAGAATTACTGTCACCTGAAACCATTTTTTTCCATTTGCAGTGTTATTTCTACACCATTTAGAGTTTCCTGTTTTAGCCAACTTTTATGGTGTGTTTCATTTCAGTTTATTTCCCCTCTTCAGCACCTCCTTTCCAGTGACCCCTGCCCCACCTCCAACACATTCAGGTTATTTTAAATCTCCCATGATTCCATAACTAGCATTTTGTGGTGGCTTCACTAGTACTCGTACCTGTCCTTACTTTCTTTCTTCACCTACCATTCTTCTTCACACCAAGCCCTATACCCTCCACCTAGCTGCCTTGGCGAAGTAGAATTTTCTAACAATTTCTAATGGCATTTTCTGTGAGAAGTAATAAAAATAGGTACTAAGTATAAGAAAAGGTGCTCCAGACCCTAATACTCAGAAAAATGCAAATTAGAACAAGACCATTATTTTTGCCTAAGATTAAAAAGAATAATAACATTCAGTGCTAGTCAGAGTGTGAAAAATAGAAACTCTCTGACCCCATTGACAGAAGTGTAAATTGGTATCACCTTTCTGGATGGATAAATAATTGGAATTTTCTGGAAGTATGAATACTTATACTTCAATTTATAAGTTAAGATACTAATTTATTTTATTTTGTTTTGTTTACTTAAAGCTTAGTGCCTGGAACCTTTAACTGGTTTTAGCTGCTTCCCTAGGGCAAAACATAAGGCTTGGGAAATTCAAACATACTTGTGATATACAAATAGAGTTTCTTTTTTTTTAAGGTCACTGTCAACCTCTAATGAAGACTGAATGCATTAACTAAACACAGAGACAATTTCTTTATTTGAAATATAAAAGAGTATAGGGCAAAAATTTGCTAATAATAGTCCTTCCATTTTACAGAGGGATTATCTCACAATATGTGATTCAGGGAGGAAAGGTGTGGAGGTGGGCAGTGTGTTTATCTGAATAAGTAGTGGCCTTTAAGAGTTGCATCTACTATCTCCCAGGCTTCTATTCATTTTCTTATTCTGTTTAAATGGAAATTGGAGTCTCTTCCAGAAAAATTTCCCATCTATTTCCAAGCTTCTATTAAGGGACAAGGCCAGGGCTACTTTTAGCCTTCTATGTTTTAGCTACAAATATGTACTGTAAGTTACCTAGTACACACTTTGGGAGAACTGCATTTATAACCAAATCTGTATCATAGAGAGGCAGTTTACAATTGTGTTTTCACTCTATAATGCCTAATGTTTATACTAGTCACATTTTTTAAAAGGATTGCTGCATTGTGCTTATTTTGTACTAAATCCTTAATAATTTAACCAGAACCACTGAAACATAACATAAAATTTCCATGATGGTCCCAGTTTCCTCTATTCAGCTCAGTAGATAATGCCTCAAGTCTGGGCTCAAGCCCTTACCCACTTTAATATATATATATCTCCTATCTAATAATAGACAAACATGGTAATTAACTATAACTTTGCTACCCTTCCCATTGGCTAATCAGGGCCATATGCAAACTAACTGCCAACCAAGATGGTGGCTGGCAGCCAGGCAGCTGAAGCAAACAGGAGGCTTGCTTGCTCCAGTGATGGAGGAAGCCATGTTCCCCGCCTGCTG